CGTAACATTCGCGACATATAGTAATAATAACAGTGATATGGTTGTCGGTGAAATACCACAATTTTTTCAGTTTCCAAAATGTGACATCTCCACCGTACGCTGTAAATGTACCATTTATATCTTCACATTTAAAGGTATCAATGTCGTCATTAGAACCGAATTTATCAACATGACAGTTTTACTTTCCATGTAGGCTTTTTTTTTTTATTTGGTTTTTTTTACCTGAAGCTGAATTCAATCCTTTTTTAAGGAAATACTTCTTGTAATAAGAAGTTGTTGTATTACATGTCCGAAATTGAATGGGTTTTCCGGCGAGCTGAGTTTTAGTGCAGCGGATCTCTGTTGTCGATGCTCTTATTTAAAAATTGTATTTTATTCAAATTTACAATCAATATTTTTGAATAAAAAGGTTGATACATGTCCGCTTGTCGACAAGAATTTATCTGCTTGAATTGAATTATCTGTTTGAAGGTGTAAAAGATGTTATGAACACTCAATGGTAAAATTCGTGCCACGCGCGATTATCCAATACCTCATATATACATGTGCATTACTGAACGAGCGTGAGCTTAAGAAGGCTGTACATCAGCCAATTTCCCTCACTGCATTTTAAGGACCGAGACGATGGCTTCGTCAGCAAAGGATCAAAGGATGTATTACATGGTAACAAAATATTTCCGTGCATCATTGAATTTACCAAATCTGCGAGTTTCGTTGTGATTTTTGTTGCTGTTTGTGGTCATTTAGGACGAATCTATGACCTCTGTTTTGGCCAAAAATGCTGGAAAAGCTATTATTCATGTAACAAAAATAAACTATTTAGTTGCGAAATTATACGAAGTATTCAGCAGGCTACAAGCATTTCTTTTTTCTTTTTTGTGGGGAATCAAAGTAGGAATCCAAAGAAAAAAAATTTTGCACTCTCGGGTAGCCGATCAGAGCACAGGTTTCATGTTCGCTCGCGGGTCCCACTTTAACGTATAAATAGCAGAAAAATTGGGAAAACGTGTCAACAAAAGTGAAAATTTCAACACCAGAAACACTATGACCACGATTTCTTCATCACGTTTGAAAACGAAACCTCGTTAACGACACGATTAATTATTCTGGTTTTTTAAACGCTTTGGAACATCGATCCACCTCCTCGCGAAACTTGACACGGTAATCGTCGACGGTGAATAAATTTTTGTCTTCAAATGTTCGAGCTACGTATCTACAAGGTGGTTAGTAGTATCACCTCTAACTGGTTATCTATCAGAGTTCGGTTTTAGTGGATATACCTTTCCGCGCGATGACGGACTAAACGGGCACAATATTTGCGTGTTTACATCGTACGCTGGAAGATAAAACTGTAGGCTCATTAATCATCATTGGAGCAGAATTTTGTACTGTGGGGCAAGACTACCTCAGCAGCTTCACGGAAATTTCCTAAATTTGCCATTCACTATTATATTGCACAATATTCTTTTTTTTTAACAATTCGTTCACAAATAATTTAAAAGTTCTCTTTTGCTTTGCGATACCCAAATGTTTGTTTTTGTTTCTTTTTTCCTGTTTCATTTCGCTTTCAGTCTACTCCCTCCGCCAAATGCTCATATGGCGTAGCAGTTAATTTATTTGATGGCCTATAAGGGTATGTTATGCAGGAGTCTGTGTGCTGCGTTTAACTTTCAATTTGTTGTAGATGAAGTTCGTTTATAATAAGAGTATTGATGAATAGGACACTTTCCAGTGCCATCTTCTCCAGTCCTTCAGATAACCTCGTGTTCAGTGCCTTTTTTGAATTCGAAATGAAAAAATCGGGTCCTTTCCCAACATAATTTGCAAAAGGCCAGCTACTTCCAGCTATTCAAAATTCCTGGCTCCTTCTGAAAAATTAAATAAAAGAGGTCATTAAGTAGAACTTTTAATTCTGTTAAAAAAAAAAACTTTGTCCAACAATTTTCGATAGCTTTGAGGGAGATTTACACATGCACTTTGTTGAAGAACAGGGTCGATAAACGTGTTTCTTTACGCAATAGGCTCGCGAGGTGTTGGTAGAATTCGTGACGGTTACGCAAACCCTCGAAGGTGTTTCGGTTTCGAATAAGTTTCGTGAATTCTCCGAGACCCACACGCGATAAAATGAAGGAATGAGAAAAAGAGTCTTTTATTGCATTATTTTTAATCCATGCTTATCCATGCCTACCGGGTATAATTAGATTGTTTATTGCCTTAAACGACATTTCAACAGATGAGACTACGAAAACAAACAGACAAACAATTGAAAAAACAAACATGACACAACCCGCGGAACTTGACTGGAGCTGTCACGAAACCACAATATGATTAAGTTATACACTTAAGTAATTAACCATAATATGATTAGCTATACAAAGTTTTCTTTGGGTTACTTGTATCTGAGTCCTCTTTTTTTTATTTTTTACAACGTAACGCAGAACATTCGATTCAATTTTATTTCTAACTATGGCAGAAAGCAACCTCCCAACAACGGGAGTGTTAAAATCAGTAAATTTTCCCGTATGTGTTATTCGGAACATATTTATTCGTAAACTTTCACATTTAACCATTTCAAGTCCTTTCATTTTAATAAATCAAAAAATGCATAAAAAACCACAGTAGCTTTTGAATAGATTTTTGTTGTTACTCGCTTTCATCATATGCACCTGCTTGTCGGCACTTTTGTTATTTATTACATGGTTTTTTTGCTTTACGGTTAGATCGCTCCATGGTTAGATCGCTCCAAGTCAGATCGCTCCATACCGAAGTCAGATTGCTCCACTCGAACGTTAGTTAGCAACATCATCAACTATAAACTACAAAGATCAGAAGTAAGTTAGTTTATTATTTTTCTACGTTCATTACACACTGAAACACTTGTTCCAACATCGGTAATTCGCTTTGGTGGCCTCAAGTTAGCGAATACGTCGATCAGCAACTCGATCGCAAGACGCAATACACATCATCAACTATAAACTATAAAGATCAGAAGTAAGTTAGTGTATTAGGTTTCTACATGGAGCGAAGTAACTTATGTATGGAGCGAAGTAACTTATTTGATGGAGCGAACTAACTTTCGAGTGGAGCGATCTGACTTCGGTATGGAGCGATCTGACTTGGAGCGATCTAACCATGGAGCGATCTAACCGGATACCGGTTTTTTTAGGTAAATATAAGTGTTAATGGTCTTTCTGGAAACATTGGTTTTCATGGTAGATAGCAGCTGAGTTTATACTCGTAAATTTAATTTCTTTTCATGCGATGGTTTCCAAACCAATCTTGCATAAATAAGCAGAAACTTTTAATTGCTTTTCCGTTTTTTTTATTTCCTGAGCTGCGCTACTGCAATTAAGATAGGTATTGTTTTCTATGTCAGAGCTGTAAATTCGCACCAAGGTTTCCTACTTTAATGGCCTAGAGTTTATTGCATCCGTCTTTTTAATTTTGAGATTCTTTCCGTCGTAGAAACAGATGGAATATTTAAGTAGTTTTCGTTTAACTCCAAAGAGACTTTTTTCCGCTCCTTTGTGTCCTTATTCAAATATTACGATTTGTGTAACAATAGCACCTCACACCAGTTAGTTCTTAAGCAAGTACCTTGTACAGCTTTGATGATTACAAACTAGAGTATGCTAGAGGTCATGTCGCTTGTTGGCCTGACCTAGAATAAAAGTATTGTGGAACCAAAGATTGTCTTATCCTTGACGTCCGTATAAGCTCGCTCGAAGTAGATCTCCTTGTACCAGGAAATCGTGACGAGTTTCCGTTCTCGCTGCCGAGTCGTCTCTACAGAGTTATTTCCCCCAGTTGTTATTGTTCCGTCCGCGAAGATTCAGTTTTCTAGTTTTGGGGCGAAAAACTATCGTCACAGGAGAAGAACTGGATGTGAAAATGAGTTTCTAGACACAGGTGAGAAAAAGCAACAGGGAAAGACTTGGTTATGGTGGTTTTGTACTGTTTGTTTATTAAGTATATCTTAATTCTGGTGCACAATCGTTTGGCTCACTTCGACTTGAAGGTTTTAAGGAATCCATTAAATACGCCAGTATTAGAACGCTAGTTGTAATTGCACATAGCTGTGATCACTAACAAAGTTGAAATATCTTCTCGGTAATTTCAGCGACAGAGAAAAGTCAAGTTTCGTCAAGTGAGGCTGAACTGGATGTATACAAAGACCCTTTAAGAGGTAAGAACATCAGGTGAAAAATGATTTTTTGAAAGACGCCCCGGTGAAATTTTTGTCACATTTACATCAAAATTTGCGTATGTTCTGTAAATAAGATTTTGAAACAGCAAAAGATTGTTTCTTCAAATTTAATTGGTAGCCGCTTGGCACCAGCTCCTTGTTTTTAATTTTCATTTGTTCCACAAGTTCAAAATTTACTTCATTATCATAATTTTTTCCCGGGTAAATGACAAATTAAGTCGATTTTATCAATACGTTTATACCTCAACAGTGATAAATTACCTCGCACCACCAATTATTCTCTCCTTTTCAGGAGCCAGAGCCTGTGTCGAACTTTGCTTGCATACAGAAGCAAGGAGCTGGCTGCATATGGGATTGGACGTATCCTTTAACGAATGTTTCAAACGTGATACGAGATGCAATGCGAAAATCAATACGTTCCCGACAGATTCTTCTACACATAAAGCAAGCGATGTTCTCTTACAATGCAGTGAGCAGTTTAAAGAAGCTAAAATATTATTGAGGAGTTCTTTCGATTATTCCACGAAACTTTTCTTGAAAGAAGAGGTCATAGTAACTAATTCGCAGAGTTTGTGCTGTAGGCCCCTCATTTTTGTCTCCACACGAGCATCATCGACACGCCCGGGCCTAAATTAATAATGACACTTCAGAGCTAGTTAACACCCTCCAATAACTTGTAGTTAAATCTCTACAAGAAACCCACGTTCGACTATCATTTCATTTTTAAGGTTCTATCCGACACTCTCATTATTTTCAAAATACACATTTCCATTGCATTTTCGCAAATCTGCTCATGATTTATCTACCCTTAATACGCTTAAAGATTGAAAACAATAACGAACGTCTGCTTCAATTAATAAGGAAGTTTAATGCTGAACTAAAAGTCATAGCAAACAGTTATGAAAGTCTCATCAAGTACCATCAAAGTCTTCTAGAAGTTGCTAGAGAAGTAGGAGACAAGGCCGAAGAGGGAAGAAGTTATGGCAATCTCGGCTGCGCTTATCAAGGTTTAGGACAGTTCAAAACAGCCATCGAGTACCATTAACGTAGCCTAGAAATTGCTAAAGAAGTGGGAGACAAGGCCGGAGAAGGAGGAAGTTATGGCAATCTCGGCAACGCATATCGAGGTCCAGGACAGTTCAAAACAGCAATCGAGTACCATCAACGTCGTCTAGAAATTGCTAAAGAAGTGGGAGACATGTCCGGAGAGGGAAGAGGTTATTGCGGTCTCGGCAACGCTTACCACAGTCTAGGACAGTTCAACACAGCAATCGAATACCAACAACGTAGTTTGGAAATTACTAAAGAAGTGGGAGACAAGGCCGAAGAGGGAAGAAGTTATGTCAATCTCGGCTGCGCTTATCAAGGATTAGAACAATTCAAAACAGCAATCGAGTACCATCAACGTAGTCTAGAAATTGCTAAAGAAGTGGGATACAAGGCCGAAGAGGGAAGAAGTTATGGCAATCTCGGTTGCGCTTATCAAGGATTAGGACAGTTCAAAACAGCAATCAAGTACCATCAACGTAGTCTAGAAATTGCTAAAGAAGTGGGAGACAAGGCCGGAGAGGAAAGAGGTTATTGCGGTCTCGGCAACGCTTATCAAGTTCTAGGACAGTTCAAAACAGCAATCGAGTACCATCAACGTCATCTAGAAATTGCTAAAGTGGGAGACAAGGCCGGAGAGGGAAGAGGTTATTGCGGTCTCGGCAACGCTTATCAAGTTCTAGGACAGTTCAAAACAGCCGTCAAGTACCATCAACGTAGTTTGGAAATTGCTGAAGAAGTGGGAGACAAGGCGGGAGAGGGAGGAAGTTATTGCGGTCTCGGCATTGCTTATCACAGTCTAGGACAATTCAAAACAGCAATCGAGTGCCATCAACGTCATCTAGAAATTGCTAAAGAAGTGGGAGACAAGGCTGGAGAGGGAAGAAGTTATGGCAATCTCGGCAACGCTTATCACAGTCTAGGACAGTTCAACACAGCAATCGAGTACCATCAACGTAGCCTAGAAATTGCTCAAGAAGTGGGAGACAAGGCCGAAGAGGGAGGAAGCTATGGCAATCTCGGCTGCGCTTATCACAGTCTAGGGCAGTTCAAAACAGCAATCGAGTACCATCAACGTCACCTAGAAATTGCTAAAGAAGTGGGAGAAATATCCAAAGAAGTGGGAGACAAGACTGGAGAGGTGTGCTCACTCTGTTCCCTTGGAAGCATTTTTGAGTGCCAAGGAAATCTTATGATGGCCTTTGACTGTTATTACTTGAGTGTACAGTTGTATGATGATATTAGGGCCAGTCTTCAACTCAACGATCGGTGGAAGATTTGTTATCGTAATCAGCACCAAAGTGCATACGAAGGTTTGTGGCGTATAAATCTCAATCAAGGTCAGGTTGTAAAGGCTCTTCTTACCGCAGAGAAAGGAAGTGCTCAAGCTCTGAACTGGCTAATGGATGGCTGCGTACTTTGGTTTAGCGTCCAATCCAAGAGAAAGATTAAAAGTTGTTATTCCCCGGTGTTACCAATTCCAAAACACAATGTCTTGTATATAAAACGTCAAATGTACTTAATCTTATTGAACTAGGGTAAGAAGGATAAAGAATTGGAGGAAAAGATGGCAGTCCTTGAACAACAATACTTAGGTAAGATATCTATTTTTCCAATTTTAATCCAGGCTGGTGGTCAGTGCCGACCAACGCAATAGTGAGTGGGCGAAGAAAACCTTGGAAACGGCCGAGATTGTCCTCATATTTCTTAGCGCAACTCTCGCCGTTTTTTTGGGCAACCACCCACCTCACCCTCCCTCGGCCTTTTCGCCTCCACTGACTGAGAACTCATCAAAGGTAATTGCTCTCAACAAAGAGAGGATAATCATCCAATACGTAGGCCTTTGACCGACTGACTAACTGACTGAATAGCTAACTGACCGACCGACTGACTGGCTCGCTGACTGACTGACCGACTGACTGACTAACCGACTGACTGACCAACTGACTGACCGACTGAATGACTAACTGGCTGAATGACCGACTGGCTGACCGACGGACCGACTGACTGACTGAATGGTTGACTGACTGATCGACTAACCGACCGACTGATTGCCTGACTGAATGACTGACCGACATACGATTTGACTGACTAACCGAAAGGACTCTGCTTAGTGACTGTCCGTCTGTCCGGCGTTGATCTCCGATTGGCATGACATGTGACACGTCACAGCTCAGTCACTTGATTACTGGCTCATTTCTCATAACTGACGATCTAACTTTCTAAAGCTTATCAGAGCAGCACCATAAATTTGGTTGATTTTAGATGATCTAAGATCATACTCTAAGATCGATAACAATTCGATTATCCACCACTGAGCTTAGCTTTTAAAATTACTTCAGAGAGGGAGAAAGAAATCCTAAAAAAGAACTCTGTCTTGGAAAATCAGCTGAAAGAATCATGTGACAAAATGAACGATTTACGCATTCTGCAAGAAAAGGTTAACGAGTCTCTCCAGGCTGAAATTAAAGACTTGAAGGAGACTCTGGTTATGAGAGAAGAATGTCATACAAAACAAAAAGATCTTTTCAAAACGATGGCAGCTAATGCCCAGAGTGAACTGAACAAAGCTCGGGCGGTCATTTCAAATCTCTCTGAAGGGATGACGGCCTGTGAAGGTAAGTCTAATGTATAAAGTCAAAGGCAATCTCCTTATTTTTGATCGTCGACCGCCCCTTGGTACAAATTTATTTCTCTCCTCAGCCTTCCGCTGCCATTAAAATCAAAGATGACGGCCATAATTTTCATTATGAAATTACTGAGCACTCGGTCGCCGAAATTACGCTTGCTCTGCAGGCTAGGGTACTTATTTTGTAGATAACCGCAGATTAGCAAGAAATTCGTTACAAAGGATCAAACAATAGCCCGTTAAAACATTTAGAATACTTTTGAAAAAAATTACATCGTTGAAACTGAAGTCAGCCACCCGTACCTATATTCTGACGGAAACTCTCTCCGCCGAGAAGTTTGCCTCAAATCAGCAAAGTGCCCTGAGAATTCCTCCAACGAACTTACATACCAGACCTCTTCATACCATCCTGAGGGAACGGAGATCAGCTACCGTGTTAAGTAGCTGTGGGGCAGTAGGCTCCTTCTTCTGTCCAATAGAACTTAACTTCTTTTATAACTATGAAGTCACATGAATGAGATCGAAAGGTACATTTAGGCTTTGTTTGTGTTAACCCTACTGGCGGAGGTCTGCGAGTTTAAATAATATGAGATTTATCCTAAGTTAACGTGGAATATTTTAAGGCCTCTGCTAACAGGATGTTTCAGCTTCTCGCAGATTCCCTTGTGGACAACTTGCAAAACTGTGTCGGCAGAGAAAGTAAACCCAAGTTGTATTCTCAGATCACAATGAGATTTTAACAAAAGGCACTAAAGTCTAACAGAAACCCAGTTTGGTCCTGAACAGATATTAAATAGGAAGGCATCTGTAAGATATTTAAACTGTCGCATCCACAGGGAACACTTCTATAATTACACCAGCAACTGTATCTGAAGTGGCTGGTTCTGTGAAAAACAACGACCAGTTTTCCCAAAACCAAGGGAACTCCGAAACCCTTTCGAAAACCGGTAAGTTAAACTTCCTTAAAGGGGCTAGATATTTCGGTCTATGTTTCCTGGTTACACGTGGTTTCTGGCTGCATAAGGTTGGTGCTGTTCAGCCCATAACTGCCTCTGGTCATCACTACTTTCTATGGCTGAAACACCGAGTCCAGCCATATGTTTTAATCAAAAGAGGAAGAAAAGCTGGTGTTTACTCTAGAGCAAGAGGGTTATCTCAGCTATATTTGTGCATAGGACATGTGAGACTAGTGCACGTCTGTAATTTGGGAAAATCAACATAACCAATTCATCCTTGTTAATTCCGTTAAAACACTTCCAACTTTGGCATGTACACTATATCATTTAACAGAGAGAGAACGAGAAACTTTTTTCCACGTGAGTTAAGTACGCTGAAGTTGACGTAGAGTCTCATGTGTGAGATAAGACTTTTATGGTCTGGGATTATTTGATTCCTGTTGACAGAAACAGATCTTCTTTTTAGACATTTTTGTTATCCTTGTTATTTTGCACTATACACTATAATAGTTCTGTTATATAGCTTTCTTCTCTTGGTTTATTAGCATGTATTGCGAGGAGCTTCACCGTGTTGTTCCTCTTCAGCTTATTTTAGGTTACCCGAGACTACCACTCCGTGCGTTTTGGGAAATTAGTTTTAGGTATCACAGCGCCGTACAGTTGACTGAGATTCTCTACAATACTTATTCCTTTCTCTGTTTTTACAGATGAGCAAGGATTCTTAGGCAAGGTATTTTGGGCATTTTTACATCACGCTTCCTCAAACCTATAGGTTTGTCTGCCTGTGTTTGAACCAACCTTCGTCCCTCTCAGGTACATCATCTTCTTTATTTACTCTGGTATTCATCTATCTTCCCATGTTTGTATTTTATGGTTTTCCTTATTTCTATATGCTTTAAATGGGTCTCGAACACTTACTTGACCGGCTCCTCGACAGTAGTTTTAGAAACAGTGGTAGATTTCTAACATATGCTGTAATCTACAACGGTCGATCTCGGATAATTTAAGTCATCGAGGGAAATAACTCAAAATACTTTCATTTGCAGCCTTTGATTCCTTGTCAGATAAGTCTCACTTATTTTGATTCTCTGTGTCGTCTCGAGTGATATGGTGGGCTTTTGAAACATTTTATTCCCTTTTCTCCATCATCACGAGACTGTTACTCCTCCAGATACAAAAGAATCATTACCTTCCAACGCATCAATCAGCATATTACTACAGAAGCATAGATACGCTGCTGATCCCAGTTTTTGTATCTATTTTCTTCTCTCTGCGCAGGTTTTCTTGCTCCAGGATCATTCTTGCATTCATCAATTGCAACTCAGCTAATATTGTACTTTGAGAAACAGTGTAAATATTGTCATAAGTAACTACTGTGTAGTTGTGAAAATGTTTTGAAATGACGAGTTGCAGTCGGTATTGAAAATATCTATTTGAGCTAATGAAAAATATAGGCATGCCGTTACATGCCGTTCTTGAAAATAAATTATTTTCTTGTTTCATGATCTGTTTGATATGTGTTCAGTAGCAACTTTCCGATGTCTGGATATAACAACTATTTCCTTTTTTTGGATTGAAAACAAAGTAGACTTCTTCGTGTCATCAAGGCGATGTGCTCTTCTTTCAGAATAAAAATCTTCAGCCGTTAGTCGAAATTTTGTGCTTTGATCAGTGGTGATTATTACGGAGTCAAGAAAGCATACTCCACAGGACATGATTGCGAAGAACACAACGTCCAGAAAAGTTAATAATCCATCAAGAAGAGAAAAAAAATTTGTTATTACGTGCAAATAGCAGTTGAGAATTCTGAATTGCTTACGAAAAAAGGCCTCTATTTTCTTCCTAAATTAAATCGTTGAAATAAACAACAACTTAAATCTTGAAGGAATTAAAAGACCGTACATGAAAATCATGTATGTGATCAGCGGATAAAGAAGTGAGTATGAAAGCAATCTTCGCAGTAGTGAAGACTACTTAGACAGTAGTGAAAATAGGGCCTTTTCTCTCACTACTGCTTAATTTAAGTAGTCTTCATTACTGCGAACATCGCTCTAATATTAACTTGAAGGGATTAATGAGTATTGGTGTGATAGAGGTGCGCACGCTCTGATTGGTCGAGGATTGCGTCATATCTCGTTGTAGTCACCTCGCGCCAGGAGCGCTAAATATCAGAATGGCTGCCTCGCGTTTTGTCAGTGTTACCGAGGAAGTGATGAACGCAAAAAAAAGGAAATTCAGTTAGAAGAGTATCAAAGAATATCAAATAATTTTTGAATTAATTAAAAAAAAAGATATGAAGTTTTTGTTACTTGAATTAAATGAACCTATCTAATTCTAAAGGAAAATTCATTACCTGACGTGGGAATTTCGCGATAAATTGCACGCGAAAACCGATATCGCACGAATCGTAATGCGATATCGGTTTTCAAGTGCAGTTTAACGTGGAATTCTCTGGTCAGGTAATAATATTGTTTATAACATAAACTTCGGTGTTACACAGGGATTTCCGGCCCTGAGAAAAGCCGTAACAACACACTACCGTATTTTTTCACGTGTGTTAATATAGCCAATCAGCTACTGACACGTCACTCGCCTTTGGCGCCACTTTCTCGGATTGTGGCGGCTAAAACACTAAAAAATCCGTATCGCTGATAGACAGTGAGGTTTAAACTTTTCTAGGAGCCGTTTACCTGAAAGACTTCTTCTGTCGGTAAAGACAAAGTCATTAAATCTGAATTTTGTAAATTAAAAATTACGACCATTGTTGTTTTTGTAATCGTGATTCAACGCATTTCTCCATCCCGTGAGTCAGCGCTAACGCACTCCACGATTGTTGTTTAGGGATTGTCGATTCGTTTATTTTCATTCATTAATTAATGAAGTCGGTTCTTCTTGTGAGTAAAGGGCTATTGTGTTTATATGATAAACAAAATAATACATGGTTGCTTGTAGATATTGAATTTTTCTTCTAATGTTCAACTCGACATCACACTCGTTCGCTGCGCTCATCAAAACAATTGAAAGACAATGGTTTAAAAACAAAACGAATATTTACAATAGAGTCCAAAAGCGCCAAAGCAATTATACTAAGACAATTATTCGCATCTGGCTCGGTGAATATTGCTGAATACTCCTCATGACTTAGTCTCGGAGATTATTCATTAATATTCATTGAATCTGGAGCTAATAATTGTTCAATATGGGTAATAAGATTGAACCCAAATAACAACGGGTATAAACCTATATCAATAACGAAAAAAAGCCTCCTTTTAAGTTCAATATTTTTAAGCTTGCAGAGGAAAAGTCTTTAAGTCAATTAAGCGGTTAGTATAGAAAACGTATTTAGTTTTTAAATTTAAAATTGCAATTTTCTCTTTCTCTCACCCCTTGGTATTCTTTCTGTTTTCACGGGAGGCGCACGTGATTTCACAAATTAGCCAATCACGGCGAAGAACCCTAACCTTGGAGTTGTTTTAAGTTGATTTTGAGATTTTGTTCCTGATAATTTGTTACCCTTTTGTTTGGAATTTTAAGAAGTTGCGGAGCTTTTTTGTTAAGCCAAATGTTATGATTATTTGAACAAGTTCAAATCTAGTCTCCTTTTTCGTAAATTGATTTCTTACTATCAGCCCACTTGCCTCGAATTGTAAGTAATGGAATTACAAACAACTACATTCAAAAAGTATCGGAAATTAGTTAATAATAACCCAATTAGTAGCTTTTATTGGCATTCTCTTTTTCTACTAATACTGTCCCTCACTAAACTGAGAAGGCAAGTGAATCCCTTTCAATGACATTACGTGACATCACACTCACAGTGAGGAGCTGACGCCAGCTATTACCAGATAACAAAGATATTCAAAGTTGAAGTTTTGTAATTATTCCTAAGAGTAGAAAATAAGGCTTATTAGTTGTAGCGTTGTTTGTGGATGTAAATGAGCCGGATGCGAATTATGTTTGCTTTATAGAGGCAATATGTGTATGGTTTGTGCTTGTGAATTGTTTAGCGCGGTTCAAATGTTTCCACTGACCCAACCTATTCAATCGTAACTTCTAATTTAAATTTGCATTGCAAGGACGAAGAAAACTCAACTCGATAACGAAATTAATTTTGAAGAAAATCAATAGGAGAGAATACTTGAGCGGCCAAAGCAGTTTTGTTTTCTCCTTTAAAAGCATCATTTTTTTAAACTGATTTTAGTTCAACCGTTTCGTTGGGGCTTTTTCTTGCTTAACTGCTCGCAACGATATAAACTGTAGTCAAGAGAAAATCAACATCCTCTCGCTGCAGTGTTATATAAAGATTTCAAGCCCTGAAAAAAGTCGTAACAACACATTAAGATATATGATAATTTTTCACTTGTGTTTGATATCGCCAATCAGCTGCTGACACGTCACTCGCCTTCGCGCCACTCCGTTAGGTTGACAAATGAATGGCAAAGCCTTCACCATTCTCAATCCAAGGTCGTTTGTCGAAATTTTCTCGGATCATGGCTACAAAAACATTGTTTTTTCATCTTGAGCGTTATCGCCAGTGCACTCTACGACTTTTTTTCGGTGATTGTGGATCGTAATTTTTCCACTCATTAATAAAGCGATTTTTATTTTCAGAAAGGGGCTGTTGACGTTAAATAATAAATGAAATAACACATGGTTGCTTGTAGGTATGGAATTTCTCTTCTCGTGTTCAACTTTATACCTCGCTAGTGGGCTATAGTAGAGAAATCAGTAAATGAAATCGCATTTAAATCCTCTGGGAAGAAGCGGGAAACGATGAAGTGGGTAACTGAGTATAGTAAATAAAATTCTTGCGCACAAACTTCTTAGTTGCGAACCAGGCTTCTCGCTCCTTGTCACTAAGTGATTGAATAATTATGTCACGACATAGTGACGATGCAATTTGTTTACTACGCGTAACCATAACAACTACTCAGGCCAGAAAGATTAACGGTTTTCGATTTACGCTTATATCTGCGATTCAGTGTAATAAGATATCTATATATCAGTTCTTAACTTCTTGTACAAGCTTATTCAAGGCAACGATGAGAATGAACGAGCATCCAGCTCATTTGATGTGCCGATCGGAAATCAAACATTGGCTTTCTAAAGACCGATCGGCACATCATATAATTTATAAATTGGCTATACAACCATAACAGATATTTAACTGTTAAGATTGTCATTCAACTCATTGAGAGCAAAGTGTTTGTCTGATTGTCTGCTTCACTGCTTGTCTCACTTCATTAATCTTCCAGCAGTAAAGAAATGGATTTAGCGTCGAGTTAAAATAAACTAAGACAGTTGCTGTTCCCCATACAACGACTAAATGCCGTGCATAACCGATCAAAATTTCCATTATGCCATATGGTACATAGCAAGCAACTAATGCTAATTGCACCCACAACGCACTGTACACTGCCTTTTTATATCGCGCTGTGTTTAGTGCGCTTGGTTGGCTTGGCTGTTGTAGAACAAGATCTTGTACTTGAACCTGACGATGACTGAGGGCGCGGAAAATCTTTGTGTACGACACGAATGAGATTACAAGGTAAGATGGGAGAAAGATGCGGCCATACCAAAATGTTATGCGGCCATCTAAAATGTAATATGAAGCAGCAACATTAGATATAACCCAAAAGGTAGCTAAAACGATACGTGTGCGCTTCAAAGTGACAGTTTGTTGGTATTTTAGCCCCAACAACAGCACGAGAAGCCTGTCCACGCTTATAGCCGTTACAGTCGACAAAGACACCCCACATAAGCCGTAGCTTGTTATGAAAGCAGCATCCCTTATATATGGACAGAGGTTCCAGTGTTCGTAAACTATGGACATCCAATACGTTGCATAGAGAGGCTGGCTAACAAGACCAACCAACAGATCAGTTGTTGCCAAACAACGATACAAGAGTTTGGACGTCGGATGAAGGGAAGATACCTTTCGAAGGGCAACAAGGATGAGAGAATTCCCAAGAAGTGCTGTGATGGAAAGAAGAATGTTGACTGCTGAGAAATATATTGATTGTTGTTGTAATCCACCTTCCGAAGAGGGAGAGCATCCTATTTCTTCAGACGTTTTCGTTTGTGCTCTACCTTCTGTTAAATTTCTTGTCGCCATCGTTTTGCAGTCGTGTCCTTTCACATGTACTTTATTTACGATTGCAGTGAGATTTAACGAAAAATCTCCCTCTTAGAGCTTCCGTACAGACAAGATCTGTTAAACCTTAGATTCGCAAGAATCATCACATTAAGACCTCATGCGCAAACTGACAAATTGTTTGTGCTGTCAAATACTGCATTGGACTGAATTCGGCTTTTTTTCATTCGTGCTTTCCATTTGAATGAATCACCAATACTAAGAGGAAAGCAATTCAAAACATATGTATAATTACTTTTTCAGTGGCGCTACAAATGATCCCTCCTTAACCAAATGAACTTTAATTTGTAGAGCGGGTGATTAAATATATCATTCGTGTGAATATGAGACTGAAAGCCTTCTCAGCTCAAGCTAGTTACGTAAATCGCTTCAAGAAAAACTTGAATTCGTGGCAATCTCCAGTTACATAAAACTGTTTAATATTGAAGAAATGCAAAATGGTTGCCGTGTTTACATAGCCTGATGTAAACACTTGGGAGGTTGGGAGAACACTCGATAAGCTGGAAACCACTCCGCTTCGCGTCGTGGTTTCCTACGCTTATTTTCTTTTATTTTTTAGTCTATACATGCCATCTTCCCTAAAGCCAGGGTATTCATAGTAATCATAACCACTACAATTTTCTCAAACGCGATTGGTGCATTAGCTGTTTTATTTTTCACTAATCATTCTTAAATTGGAGTCCACTCGGTCCTAGTACCATTATAAATTACCTCTTATAATTACAAGAAAAAGTTAGTCTAATGGAAACTGTTTTCCTCCTTTTTTTCAATGTCATTGATTCTAAGATACGAGTTGGTTTTCGTATCAAGCCAGCTGTCATGTATACGGAACTGATCTTATTTTTTTCTTCTATGTTACTTTAGTTAAGCGACTAAAAACTTTTGTAAATATGCACGCATATTTACAAAAGAGAAGGCTGGGAGTTCCTTGGCTCCTATTGTGACAGAGTGTGCTTTTTGTATTCGCATTTGAAATGAGACAGTGTTACTGTGGAAGTTTTTATATTGTTATTGAGAAAGTGAGGTTTCCTTGATCGTGGCTTAGCAGATACAGTCAAGACAAAAAAATTCTACAGTTACGTACAGTTACAAATAACCATGAGGAAAAACGATAGAACTGTTAAGTAGATACGAAATGATGGGGAATATTTTCTAGCACAAACGAGTCTCTTGTTTTCAAGAAATACGATTGTTCTGAATAAAATTTCATTTAAAATCTTCACTTCAGAAAACGGCAAGTTTTCTCCTTTTATGCTCGATCGATTAATAATAATCATAGTAAAAGCCTTATTCGAGTCTCAAATCTATAGCCAAGCGTAATGCTTTACGCTTAATCGAGGAGACAGTATATAATTAAAAAACAGACCTATATATGCAAGTGTAATTCGAAAAGAGAATACGTGAGCATGTTTATATCTTTTATAACTCTAGCTATATTAAAAATCTATGGGATACGAAAATGTGAGAATTAGAGTCTAGCAGATGCATTTATGAGTAGCTAAAACTAAACCTAGTTGGCAAGCACCTCAAGGCCCTGTTTTCAAATATTTTTCTTGAAATTACTCAAGGTTGGTTTTCCTTCAACTTGTCAGAGGTATGAAATAACAGTAAAGTATGAAACAACAGTAAGAGGTAAATAGAAAGACACCTTTAATATGATTTTTTTTACAGTGTAATGACTCATACTAGTGATGTCATTTAGCTTGGGAAAAATTTAATTATGACATTTTCTGAGTTCGCTATACAAATATTCAAAATTAATGTATGGCCACAGGAGCAAACTTATTTTAAGATGTTTGTGTAATCAATTACGTTTTGTAGCTCCTTTATTTCCGTTTCAGATTCATAGTGGCTTTTATGGATAACATGCTAAAGTTAGCCTATTAAACCCTAGATACAATTTCTTTTTTTTCAAACATCTTTTGAGCAAAAAGACATGAAAAATATTGTCGAATCACGGAAGCTTTCATGCATTCGGCAAGTGAATGATTTATTCTTATTGCGTTTCCCTTGAGCGATAGTCCTTGTAATAGAATGAAAGTTACGCCTTTTAAACAAAATTTATTATTTAGGAACCTCTTGTTGCTCTCGGCTACGTCTTTAGTGACTCTTACTTATCTTTCAAGCTCTCAAAACTTCCCGCGTGCTTCAGATTTTAATGAACGCATGAATCCATTGTTACCTGTACCCTTTAAGTTAAGAGAATTTGGCTCGCTCTGACAAAAGGCTTAGACTTGAAAAGTGAGCCCTTTATGGTGGCTTATTTACATTATCAACTCAGTCGATAAAACCAAATTGTCTTGTAATACCCTTCACTGACGCAGCATCACAGTTTCTGCAGAAACTTATCCCACTAAAAGTTGAAAAGTAATTAATCATCCAGGACACACAAAGAATTAAAAAGTTACGTTAAATTTTGGAAAAACGAGAGATTTTGAAAAGTAAGTTAGACAGGGAAGTAAAATGTAACTCACATCTCGATTGCTTCTTGACCATGCATGCAAACCGTTATGTTTTCCTTCTCGATTGTGTATTTCGTATTTAGGATAAGTGCTTTCGCTTCTTAACAGATGGTAAGTGATTCCATGAGGAATTCATAAAGAATATCAAAAACAGCTTGCACGACGGCTTACTGAGCCTCCCATTTCTTGTTTCAAATACGGGCTCTCTTTATTTCAATCTGACAACCGTGACTTTGTAAGTCAGCTTTGAAAACACTAAAAGTGAAGGGCTTGTCTGATTTTCTGCTTCACTGCTCGCCTTACTTCCCTAATCCTCCAGTAGTAAATAAACGGGTTTAACGTTGAGTTACAATAGAGAAAGGAAAGTGCTATTCCCCAGTTGATGACTAAGTGTGATGAATATGTTTTACTTAAAGCATTCACAGTTTCCACTATAGTAAATGGTACATAACAAACAACAAATGCTAACTGCACCCACAAGGCACTGTACACTGCCTTCCTGTACCGCGCTATGTTCAATGCGTTTGGTTGGTTCGGCTGCTGTTGAGCATGATCTTGTACTTGAGCCTGATGATGACTAAGCGTGCGGAAAATCTTTGTGTACGAGACCAGTGAGATAGATAGGCACGATGGTATGAATAAAATGCTATTCCACGTGGCTATACGGTAATCTAAAAGGTAGCATATCGCAGTGAAACCAGATAACACCCAAAAGGTAGCTAAAATAATATAAGTACGTTTCAAAGTTACGAGTACTCTGTACCTCAGCCCCAACAACAAGGCGAGAAGTCTATCCACGCTTATGGCCGCCATCGTTAACAACGACACTGAACATAATGCATAGGCTGATACGGAGAATGCGTCATATGCAAATCTACAAAGGCTCCAGTGTTCGTAAGAGACGGACATCCAATAAGTAGCATAGAGAGGCTGGCATACCAGGCCAACCAACAGATCAGTTGTTGCCAGACAACGATACAAAAGTTTGGACGGAGGATGAAGGGAAGATTCCTCAGGACGAAGGACAACAAGGATGACAGAATTTCCAAGAAATGCTGTGAGGGAGAGGAGAATGTTGGCTACTGACAAATTAATTGATTGTTGTTGTAATCCACCGACAAAAGAAGGGGAACATGCCTGGTCATTAAATGATTGCAGATTTCCGTCCCGTGCCAAATTTTTGGTCCCGTTCATTTTTCAAAGTAGCCTAATGAACGGTCGTCTCTTTTTTGCGTCTTCAATTTCAGCAATTTGCATTTCATCTTTCATCACCTGCTGCTCAATCAATATCAAAACACACTTTCTTTACAGAGTTGACATAAAACCTCCAACAGCATGAGACTTTATCCAGGACAATCGGATTTCTTGGCAAAGAGAAAAAATATTTATGTTATTGCAACCTTATCAACAATTGTTTCATTTTTTTTCTGATAGTTATTTGTAACTGTATGTAACGAAATTTATTATTTTCTTGACGGCAACTGCCAGGCCTCTATCTCGTAAATCTGACTTCCTTAATAAAATTTGCAAACAAACTTCCTCAGTAACGTTCAGTCGGTGAAACTGCGAAGTTGAAATGCTCCCTTTGTAAATTCCTCCCATATAATCTAATATTTCTCCAAAGTTCCAAATTTTCTTAATTTTTTAGCTCCATGAACGATACAAATAATTTTACCGTCAAGGTAGGAATATTTTTCAGCAAAATAAGCAATAAGAGCCAAAATTTAAAAGTTTGTGAGGTTAACATCACTTCACTAGACATCGCAAAATCAACACATACTTGGGAAAACTGCCAATAGGCTGAATTATTTGCTGTTAATATCAGTTTTGACAACAACTTTTCATCATTCTGGAAACAATTTGAATACAAACTTAGAATCTGACAAACTCCTCCAGCTTTTTTGTTCTTCTCTATGCTTCACATCCGACTAATAGTGAAAGGGGAGACATATCTCGAAAGGGACGAAATATATGTCCACGAAAAGACTGAGATTATCTGAATATACTGCTGTTTTCTTCATCCAACTGAGAAAGTGACAAAAGTGTTTCTTTATTGCATCGTGGAGCAATAATGTAGCCGCTTTCATTGCTTATCTGAAGTTATGTTAAACTTTGTCCACTGGAATAAACAACTGATCGTGGTCAATATGTTATTGTTTAGTTAAGAAACAACAGACGTTGTGCTAAATAATTATGATCAAATACGATTACAAAGGAAATTTCCTGGGAAAGAACCCCAATACAAACTTAGAAGGACTTACCTATCTTTGAGTCATAAAATCACTTGTTTGGTTTCTTTGTCAGCCATCCCAGTGTCTGTGAGGAAAATAATGATAATGAATACAAAATTAATACTTTAGTTTTTAATGAAACGTCAGACTTAAATAGCGTGCGCAGCCGACAGTGTCTATGCCCGCTCATGTCTCTTCATTTTTAACGGTGTAAATTTTATATTGGTTCGTGTGTCAGCATAAGTTCATTAAGACACGAAGCACCCAAGAGGTTTAGAGAGCATAAAAGATGTACAAGAGTTGTTCGACACTTGGCCAAGAGAAAATATAGATTGGTGAGTAATTAATAATGGTTATTAAATTGAGGGGAGTGAAATTTGGTCTTAAATTATATGCGTGATTTCAACATTGAACGGGCGCGATGGGAGAGTTGGATTTGAATCACAAATGTGATAACGCACCAAAATTTCCTGACACGAAGTTCAATTACTCTATGATTTTATTACATCAATTTTGAAATCGCAAAATGAAATCGCCTAAATGCGAACAACTTAAATGTGTACAAATATTGACTTGATCCTGTACTGAGCTGGTTTGTTAAAAGTTGCAAAGCTTGTCTCTCATATTCCTGCAGTTTACTTGGTTACTTTAAAAAAGCCTTAAAATCTGATTGGTGGTAGTATTTCAGTGAAGCTTTCTCACTGACTGAGAAAAAGAAGCGATTTAGAGCAAAAAATGGTGCGTTTCGTGAACAAATCGAACCGATGAGAGCCAATGAGGTAGAAAGGATTATCAGTGAATTCAAAATGGATGTTATAAAAGGTAGAATTGTAAATTGTTTTTCGAGTTTTCATAGTTTTTCATTATTCATCCCTTCATCTCCGACCTATCATAATAAACTATTTTTCTTATTTCAGTACTCGAATATGACTCAAGATATCAAGGGATAATCGTTTATTGCCCACGGGAATCGCATCAAAACAATTCAATCACTTGCTGTATAGGTGAAAACATGCTTGATATCATAACTACAAAGTTGAACTCGAATATCCTAAAAAAAGTTCACATCCTTGACCAAACATTAAGTTTGCGTGGTTTTATGAATTGGTAGATTGTCACCGATTTAATTTTTTCTCGAAGCAAGTAGACTGCCAGCCTGAACTTCCAATTTTCAGTTGTCCGAGGCTGATACTGGTTTACTTCTGAAATTCACACATTTGACATTAACTCTTAATCACTACCCTATCAATAAAAGTCTGAGTTAAGAGGGATTGGTTTTTTGTCACCTTATGAAAAATGATGATATTGAAGATGTCTCTGTGCTTACCTCTTGACTGGTAAATTAATTCGAAGGAAAGAAAATTGTGAGATGCAAAACTACAAAAGACACGCCTCCGTGATACGTGATGTTTTTCACCTGTCATTTAATTGTCGCATGTAATTCTGGTCAGAAGCAAATCATAGGGAAAAAGGTGGAAGATTTTTTCAAATCGAAATTAAATAAGAGCATTAGTTTTTAAAATTCTTTTGGTATCCCTTAAAAAAATTGGATGTACTTGCGGGTTTTTGATTTCTCTCTAACCGTTCGTTTGAGTGTATTTTTTGCTCGGTCATATTGCAAAATAATGATGTTGCTGTTATCCTTCAGGCTTTTTCTCCAAATTCAAATGCACACCATGCAAAATGTTTCCAGGCTCAGGCTGGAAACACTTATCAACTCATAAGGCCACACCTTTTTTTTGCAGCCTTCCGACGATGAGAATAAAAATTTTCTGAAGAGATTGGGGTGCTGAGCTGATGATATACTTTAGCCACATGTTACGGTATGATTTAACCGACAGAAAGAACACTATACTCCTACAAACCCAACTACTTTATTAATTTTACTAGGGGGCGACTCCTATAGGCAATACTGTAATTATCCTCAATAAACTTACTTGAGCCCACTACACACTATAAATTAGGTCACCAATGACACAAACCGATAGTTGTCTCCAAATCTCCTCGAGTAAACAATCTTCCACAGTAACTCTCTCTCGTTATAGCTTTCCAGACAATCCGTCGCTCCCGACAACATCTACTACTACACGACCGAGTCCTTATATACTTTTCCAAAGGATTTTAGAACATTCCGGAAGCTTACAATACAACAATTTTGGTAATATTACATCATAACTACATAATCTAACAGAGTGTTCAAGAAAGTTACATAATATGACAGTAGAAAGTTTATATGTGCGTGTCAGCACGACCAGGCGATCTGCAAATTTCTAGAAACTTTTCTTTACAGTCATTATCCATAACGCAGTGTACAGAGTTTGTAAATCAAGGCAATTGATGAAACCCAATTTTTCTCCCAAGCAAGACATAGTTTGACTAATTCTACCTCCTTCGTATTTACCATTTGTTTATTTTTTTATTCAACATTCTGCTTGAATGGTTATGACTTATGACTAAGTACATCATTTATTTATAATCTTAATTCTAGCATTGAAAAATTGCATAGCATCTGTGTCCATACAATTCTTTATAATTCCCTTTTTCATGCATTAATAGATTGTCGCTTTTTTCAATCCTCTACTGAAATGATGTACGTCTTGACTTGATATTTTATTTTCAGTTTTCCAAGGTTAATGTTTTGTTTCACAACGCTTTGAAATAAATATCTTGCAGATGTCTCCATGCCTGTCTGTTATTGCCAATTCATACCTAACGCAAATGACGCACAAAAAACCAAAGAAAAAAAACAAGGGTGGAAAAATACTTCTTATTCAGTCATCACACGCCACACATCCGCAGGTTTGTCCACAAACTTTAAGAAAATAATCGCTAATGAGAGATTAGGTGTAAGAAAGTAGGGTTTAAGTGATCGTGGCCGGGCAAGTGCTGTGGAGACGAAATATCTCTCGTTGCAATTTCTGGTATCTGGTGGGGAAAAAAGGAAACGACACTTTATTGAGCTGCAAAATTTTGTCGACAACTGATTCAACAGGAGGAGGAACATAGATGAACGCCAGTTTTGAACAATTTACTTTATCCCCCTCTTTGGCAGATGAGTTGCATCATCGGTCCATTTCTTCCTCAGTGGTACACATTTTCCTCTCCTTCACTACATTTCTTGGCAATTCTCTGATCCTTGTTGCTCTGCTCAAGACATCTCCATTCATCTGCCGTCGAAACTCTTGTATCGTTGTCTGGCAACAATTGATCTATTAGTTGGTCTTGTTAACCCGCCTTTCTATGCTAACTTTTTGATTTCCTGCACTCTCGAAGGAGAAATTTTCGATTCGCAAATGACGCGTTTTCCCTAACAAGCTCTTTGTTCACTATGAGTCATAATGAGCGTGGACAGACCTCTCGCCCTTTTTTTAAGGCTGAGATACAAACTGATTGTAACTTTGAAGTGCTTGTAAGCTATCATAATTCTGTTTTGGGTTACATCTCTCGTCACTGCTTTATCGTACATTTTGGATCACCCTGTAACTAAGAGGTGTAGCGCTGTAGTTACACCATTGTGCCTATCTATCTCACTGGCCTCGTACGCAAAGATTTTCTGCACTCTCACATGTCATCAGGCTCAGGTACAAGATCACGTCCAACAACAGCCGAGCCAACCAAATGCATTGCCATGGCGCGATACAAAAAGGCAGTGTATAGTGCACTGTGGGTGCAGTTAGCAGTACTTGTTTGTTATTTTCCATATCATATGTTGGCAATTGTAATCAGCCAGAGTAAAACACATCCATCTTACCCAAGGGTTGTATGGGAAATTGGCAGTTGTCTCAGTTTACCTTAAAAATCGACTTTAAACCCGTTTCGTTACTGCTGGAAGATTAATGAAGTAAGAAAAGCAGTGAAGCAGACAATCGGGCAAGCACTTTGCTGTACATGGAGTTAGATCCCTCTTAAGTTTTAATTGTCGTAGTGCTCTAAAAACTGACTTTTAAAGTTCACAGTTATTGTCAAGAAAAACTCGTTGGATATTTTATTGGAAGGAACAAATAAGAGGCACAATTTAATAGTCGCGCAAGCTGTTGTTGACATTCTTTAAGAAATGAATTTGAAAGCGATCTTCGCAGTAATGAACACTACTTAGGCAGTAGTGAAAATAAGGCCTGAAAAAAAATATTCAGGCCTATTAATTTCGTTTCCAAACAATAAATTGCTTTACTGCTTTCATACTACCCCACAAAGTTGAAGATTTCAACAAATTACATAGATCAGATCTGTGTATCACCGAAGTTTATATGATAGGATGAATTATATACGCATTTTGATTGGTTCTTACTTATGATCTTAATGTAGGACAGACACATAAACGACGTCACCTATAACAACCTTTTTTCTATTTTTTAATATAAAAATTGGTCTGTTCAATAATAGATCAAAGAAGACGTTCAGCCGTCGTAAAAACTAAAATTTTATTTTTCATGATATGCAGGAATGTTGGTATGTACAAGCACGTAATTCAGGTATTGGAGAATGGATGTCAGCAGCCTAACACATCAAGCTTGTAAATTGTAATTCTTCCAAAAAGATCCGTACTACTTGAAAATAGGATCTTTAAAACTTTCATCCTCCTTGAAATTGTGACTGGAAAAGTCTTTACTCCATGTTAAGGCATTCAACATACACAAACAAATCAATCTTTTAGAAAAGAAAGAAAATTCTGCAAATGGAAAGACACAATAACTAAAATATTTAACTGTATATATATATTTAATATATAACTAGAATACTAGAAATAGTCCAATATCTTCCTCTGGAAAAGAATTCTTAAAAAGCATGAAAAGAATCAAGGATGGGTATCATACAGGGACTTATGTCAGTTTTTTTAAGATAGAGAGATTCCAATCCTAACACATTTAGCCAGAAACCTATTTTTGGTGAACACTACCGACCTTCCATTTTCACCACAATCCTTTGTCATTCTTCTGTGAGATCATGGACTCTTTTGCCTTGGGGGCATTTTAGCTGGACTCTAAGGATGTCAGGATTTAGTGATGTACTAAATTGCCTTGACTTCATGCCAGGTTTGTGTCCGTTCAATTGACTTTGATTGCAGAAATGTCAGCTTGAGGTCTGTAATTTTAAAAACTGCCAAGGACTCCTTAGGGGGCTTGTACCTTTTCTTCTTTTAATTTCATTTTTTGCACAAAAGTGCCACTTGGATTTCCTACAAACCATGGCAAAATGATGTTACATTACCAGTATCTTATTTTGTATTCTACATCAGCTATCTTTAATTTGCCAAAGGATTACCTTGTCTTCTAGTCCATTAGAATTTTCTTATCCTGTTGTTTTTATGACTGGGCCCTAGTATTTAGTCTAAGAAAGTTGTTCAATTTGCTCTCCATGGGCTAATCTATATGTAAAGTTGCTAAAGGATACCTGAAGTGTATTAAAATCATCTGGATAAAATTCAAAGAATGGTGTTAAGCTGCTAGATGATGTTCCACCTTCAAGACAACACTCCTTTCCTACAAATCCACCCTGAAACTGAATCTGAATTTCCTTCACACAAACTTCTTCTGGAAATTCCAGGATAACAAATTGAGGTGAACCCTATAAAACAATAATTACTGAAAATTTACATACCACCCACGGGTAGACCAAACCTGGAAAATATGGTGAAAAGATTCAGGAAAGTCTCTCTTCCCAAATTTGGGTATATACTAATTTTGTTAGTGATTCAGACTGCCAAGGCAACTTCAGCACAAAACCATTCTTTTCTTTAATATATCTCCACTACGCCTAATTTCATCAGCAACATTTTCATTAATGCAGCCCATAACTTGGTGCCTAAATAACAAAGCACATATTGAGATTCCAAGAGACTGTTTGCTCCTTGTGCTACCTTTGTTCATTTCATGTGAGGAGAGCTATGAAGTGTAAAATAATGGTGCAATTTTGCCATCTTTGTACCCTCCTTTTTTTTCTACATTACAATGTGAACAGGTTGAGACATGTGACAAATATGGAAGCTGCAAAACTTACGGACCTTAACATAAGAAATGAATACAAAAATACAAAAGAGAGTTATGAATGACAGTGTTGATGCCAGAGTGTCCAAGTATAAGGGTACAGGGGAATTCCTGTTCATGAAACTTGATGGTAAGTTTCACTGGAAATTCTGCTTCAAACCATCACTAGTCAAGAGAACAATCATAGTACTACTATGAGTACTAATACTTATGGTTTATTCAACCTTTAGGGTTTACTCAATCAGTCTATCTACCTTTAACCATGACAAAAAGTACCACTGACCATTTAACATCATAAAAACACCCTAGGTCCCCCCCCCCTTTCACCCCAGCTTTTATTTTCCTTACTTGATCTGAGTTCCAACAAGTGTCTTCATTTTTATCAAACATGTATTTCTTTCCATACTGGTTAGAATCACGGTTCAAGACGGAACTGACTCTTGAAAAAGGAAAATTGATAAAGATTTATTAGAGAATGCAGTCCAATGTTGTAACAACATAGCTGCGTTGAGGCGTTGAAGCGTAGTCATTTGCTGTTTTCAAAAGTTTTGAATTTGGAGAGTGTAGGAATCGAAACGAAACAAATTTAAGCTTGTTGAGAGGAAAATTTTTCTAGACCAAGTCAGTATCTGGCCAACTGCGCATTTGTCCCTCCCCTAGCTCAACATTAACCTCAACTTGTTATCAGTTGACAGTTGTTTAATTAGGAGAGAGGTAGGTGCATAGTTGTTCAGGTACTGACATTAATACATTTTTCTCCCATATTTTGGCGAAACCAGGCCTACAGCGACTTCAGCCTGCATCTTCCATGCACGAGAAAGAAACGATCCGAAAGCGTAATTGGTAAAATTAGCATATGATGGAAATCGTGCAATCAAATATTATCATACATCATGAAAGGACAACACATCAAACGACGCGTTTCACAGCTCACCTCACTTTTGTTTTTTCTGTCAATAAGGAGACTGATTCACCCGCCATGTTTTGATTTGATAGCACATTCTGAGGAGCTCTACACCACAGAGATAATGCTGTAGATGATAAACTGCTGACTGATTGAATCGACAAAGAGGGAAAATGGCGGACATGGCAGATGATCTTCAAAGGAAAATGTAACTCCTTCATTTGAAGACAGAAATCTAATAATATCTTAAGTTTTGTATAGGGTATTAGCGCTATAGAGGGCCTGAGACGTTTTTACCTTGTTCTTCATTAGTGTAATAGAATTGTTAGCTCTACTAAACAGCGATCAAAATTTGTCCTAATGTCAGTGAACTACGCAGCTGGACTTTCTTACTATCCCCACAAAGGAAAATGTGGACAGCCTGAGGTAAAGCAAACCATTTTACAATGCTACATTTAGAGATCAAAGCAAGAAAAAAATAATTGATCTAATACAATTGGCTTGATCAATCCTGCAGCTTTTCGACTCTCCCGAACAGCTAGAACTCAAGATGGCGGAGTTCACAAAGCTTTTTCGTGAAGCTAAACACATTGTATTTCACACGGGAGCTGGTGTGAGCACATCAGCAGGAATTCCAGACTTTAGAGGACCGAAAGGTGTTTGGACCTTGGAAGAAAAAGGAAAAGCTCCACAAATGGAGACTACGTTTGATGATGCTAAGCCGTCTCTTACACACATGGCTTTGGTTAGACTAGTAGAGGAAAATTTTGTTCATTATATTATCAGTCAAAATGTGGATGGTTTGCACATAAAGTCAGGACTAGCCAGGTAACTCATTTTTCCATGACAAGTTAAAATTGAACGAGACAATACCCACTAAACCCTATGTTGGACTGGGCAGAATGATAATAATAATCAAGAGTCTGGAATAATTGAGAGTTAGCATGATTAAAAATATGAATATTAATAAGCCAAAAATAAAACTGAATAAGTATCACCTAATCTATATGGATTTAGCTATGAAATTGAAGTGAACCCTTTAACTCCCAAGATCTGATAATGTTAACTCTCCCCTCCCGCTGCCACACATTTCTGTGTAGTGTGGCGACTACTTTAACCACTCATGGTAGGTGAATGATTTAATATGTAATTGATAAGCTCTATCTGTAGTATACAGGTTACCACTCATTTCAAGTCTATTACTGTTCTGTTATCAGGTCACACCTTTCAGAGCTCCATGGTAACATGTTTATAGAGAAGTGTGACAGATGTGAAACTGAGTACATTCACAAAAATGCAGTTACTACTGTAGGATTGAAGAAGACTGGAAGAGTGTGTGTGAAAAAAGGAGTCAGAGGAAACTGCAGGTGTAGTAGTTTGTTTTGTCACAAGGATTTGACAACTCCAAAGAACCTCCACCAATTATCTTTTAGATGACGAAAGATCTTTAACAAATTGTTAAAACCCTTCACATCTTAACATCAGTATGCAAGATCTCCAGTGTTCTCCATACATAAGCTATGAACTTACAAGGAGAATTTTCATAACAATCAAGAGTGCCTTGAGTTCTTGATCATTTCCTTTATTCTCATAACCTTAATGTTTGACTCAAGGGTGGTACTTTTGGGAGAAATTAGATGCTTTTCACTGTTAGAAGTTAAAGGGTTAAAGCACTTGTTACAGGCCAAGGCAAAGTAGAAATGGTGTTAGTTTGGAGTATAGAAGAAGACATCACTGAGATTTCTTGTTCAACTGAAAAGTTAGTGATAGATTCTTACCTTTTTGCAAATGTTAAGGAAACAGAAAAGAAGAACCTTGCATAATTTTTAATGAATATGGGAATTTGAAAGTTGTGTCTGATGACAGGTTTTTATTTCCATAAAGTTGTATTTACACTTTTAGATACCCAGGACATCGTGCACAGGCAACTCTTGCTGAAGTTCAGAATCTCTGAACTGTAGGCTCTTTTTCAAGTTTCATTTGGAGTGATATATTTACTTTATCCTTCCTTTAGTGTTCAAAACCTTTGTTCTTTTATTTTTGGCCTCTGGTGGTGTATAGCTGTGTACACGTAACTTCACTTTCCTTTAGCACTGCTGGAACAAAAAGAAATGTTTGCTTGTTTTGATTTGATAGGGGTAAACTACGAGATACAATCCTTGACTGGGAAGATTCTTTGCCTTATAAAGATCTTGTTATGGCTGAACATCACTCAAGGTAAAAACCATACTCAGCCCAGTATAAATGATTTCAAATTTACCAAAAAGTTGCCATAAAAATACTGCAATAGTGTTTGTTTTGTCAGTGGGTTTTTGGTTCACTGTTATCAAACATCTTTATTGACGACTTTACTGCCAGACAATAAGAACTGCGTTCTAATCCTAAAAGGAAGTTACATTGTTATGAAATGCTCAGATAATAACTTATATGAAACGATTTGATATTTACCCAGTGAGTCGGCTAGGTCCACAGCTGACAAATGACTTACATTAGTATTATGACATCACTATAACATATCTCAATAGCAGATAAATTAACTTAATGATTGATTATAGAATTTCTCAATGAAACAGTGTTCATGTTAATTTTTTCCTGTATAGAGGTCCGTTGAGTCACATGATGTTTCTGTTTTGTTGAAATTTTATCCACAGTATTCATTCAAACTCTATAAGTTGTTCAACACTTGTGATGTACATCACACTCTGATGAGAAGGTGCTATTTTTGCTCATCATCAGCTAGTTTTAAAAATTTTCCTAAATTTATTTTAAAATGATAATCACTACTATCATAATCATTTTATTTCTCCCCTCCCTGTCCACCCTAAGAAAATTAGGGTGGACAAGTGAATGATGAGGACATTGTGATGCCAACTTCTGCCCCATAATATGATGTAATAAAATATTCTGAGTATTAATTGCTTTACCATATAGAGACAAAACTAGGCAGTGGAGTTAAAATAGTTTTGTGTTCATTTCAGGCAAGCTGATTTAGCAATTTGCCTTGGAACTTCTCTTCAAATCCAGCCAAGTGGTAACTTGCCTCTCTTCACAGTCAGAAATGGTGGAAAGCTTGTTATTGTAAATCTTCAAAAAACAAGACATGTAAGCTTTATTGGTGTGATATGGGTTACTCAGCAGGAAAATTTATTTTACTGGTGTCTTGCAAAGTATTTTTGATTAGACTTTGTGATGACCGAGTTCCATGTAATTCTATCAGGAGCTCCCTCTCAGAAAAAATGAGAGCATTTGATTTTGGGGACATTTGTTCATTTTGTTGAATAACGGTTTGGAAAAACTTGTCGACCTTTTTGGACTGCAGAGTGAGTGACATCTATATGACATTTGAAAACCTTCTTTCAGTTATGAATGAGTTTCTCTGATGCAACAAATACTTAACTTGATCATGGAAAACACTTTGAAAAATTTTTCCCTCTTATTTGAGGTACAATTTATGAAACCTTGCCTAGGGAAAGATCTCTTTTATAAAGAAAAATAACAAGTTGGGTTGGCTGGGTTTAACACATACATCTGTACATGACAAACAGAGAGTACAACCAACTTGTGACCTTTTTTGCAGTAGTTTGTTATTACTCTTTGTTCCACAAAACCCCCAAAACAGTATTGGCATGTATAGCAGCACATGGCATGTGAAAAAAAATGTAAGGTAGATGTTAATTTATAGAGAAGGAAGATTTTGATTTTTATATACTCAATAAATGAGCACAGTGGTGAATAAGAGATGTTCTTTTCCATCAGGATAAAAAAGCTACCTTGGTCATTAATCATTATGTTGACGGTGTAATGAAGGAACTTATGGACAGACTGGGAATCTCAATCCCTTCTTTCACTGGGAAGCCATGGTGGACTGACTCTGATAGTGAAACAAAATATCCCGCTAAAAAAGAGGAAATGGAGGAATATGAGGAAAAACATGAACTGAGTCATGAAACTTGTGAAGAGATACCAGTAAAGAGGTTAAAACAAGACTTTGAAAAGGACCCTCATGACAACAACGATCCCTAATTTGTTTTTACTTGTCAAAATGAATCATATACATTTTCTTGCTAGAGCTAACCTCATTTTGAAACCTTTTTCTTTATCAAAGCAAAACAATTTTGTGGTGGTTAAGTTTTGAGTTGTACCCTTTCATGACTGAAAATGGTAGAGATTTAATTTTCAGTTGTGAGTCAACTGGACTATGACTAGGAACCCATTTCTTGAGAGTCCTGGTAACTAAAGGGGCCTGAATGGAAATTCAAATAGAGAGGCAGGTTTTCACATTCCAACCACTCCATTTTGTTGCTTTAGCTGATAGACTCCTTGTAACTATTGAAACCCCCATCTTGAATGAAAACAGAACAGATTTGCAAGCCTGTTAAGTTACCTGGACCATTGAGAAATAGGCCTCAAGCTCATGTTGACTGCTGTGTACTATTGTTTTCCTATAACATTGGCCCTTTACCAGAATATTTATTGCTTTCATAACTTCTTGAGAGCCCACAGGATATACTGAGTACATTATGGAGGGTTTAAGGTATTCATTTCAATTTGATGCATTCTTTAGTGAACCTTCAACCAATCCTAAAATTGGCCATGAAAACTATGTGGCATGTAGAGTACACAATGGAACAGGGAGCCAAGAGGTTTTAACCCAAAGAGAAGCCTTTTCACAATTCAGTCTATATCAACTTGGTCTTCCCATTTGGTAGAAAAATAAATGAAGCTACTAAGAGAGAATATATTCTTATTTTTTAACTTTAAACAGTTTAAAGACTGGTAGTCCTTGAAATCTTTTTATGTTTTTTATATTATTTCTACTTTTAATTTATTTAACTTACATAGTTATTGAAAAGAGCTCACTCTTTATATCTAAAATACAGGTAAGAATATTTATGTTGTGTTGAAGAGCAGCACAAAATAAAGAAATTGAATAGTGCCAACAAAGTGGTCCGAGTATGTGAAGGTTCCTTGGAATAAAGGAAAATGTTGCAACATTCTGATAGTTTAAGTGCATTTATAATGGTAATAGGACTGAGTGGACTCCAATTCAGTCTGTAATCATACAAGTGATTGACAAAATCAAGCGACCATGAAGTGGGAGTTTGATTCATTAATCCTAAGTATGATTACAGACAGAATTGGACAACACAAAGTCCTGTTACCAATGAATCAAAACTGCAACAAAATCTGAGAAAGAAAGAAACTAGACTTTGCTTATACGTTTTCATAAAAAAAAACAGTAACTTAGCAAAATACAAGACAACAAGGCACACACGACGCATTCTGTCCACTTACACAGGCATGACATCTTAACTGTCCAATTACAAGCATGATGCATACACTGTCCTATTTAACAAATAGATTCCAAGTTGCTGTGCGTCTGTTCAGTAATAGATCACAGATGACATCAAAATGTGGTAAGAACAAAAAAGTGGCACACGAGGCACAGCCAAGTCACTGATGTTCTTACCACATTTTGACGTCCTCTGTGATCTATTACTGAACAGATGCATGGCAACTTGGAATCTATTTGTTTTATATAATAAAGAATTAAAACATACAGAAAAAAATTTTTAATGATGATGTCATCTATGTGTCTGTCCTCCAATAGATCATAAGTTAGAACCAATCAGAATGCATGCATAACTGACCTTATTTTATAATTGGTGATAACCAATCATATTTGAGAATTTTGCTCTAGTTTTGATCAAGGGGAAAATTACACTACACCTAGGATAGGATTGTGCAGTTTGCAAATGACCAAGCCCAGTATTGTAGACATAAATACAAGAGAGGAACAGCACAGTGCAAACACTTTATTCTAATTTTTCAATTGTTAACTGTAAATTTCAGAATTTAATGTTACACTGTTTCAGCCTCCTCATTAGGCTTTCAAAGTCTGAAGAATGAAGTGCGAGGGACTGTGGAAAGGAGAATAACTTCAACCATTACTTTGTTTCTTTGTCTGTCCAATTAGTTTTTCAACAGAAGACCTCTGAGTAAAAGGGATTTATCAAGCAGTTTTGTTGTTCACTGCTCCTTTCCATTTACATCCAGCAATAATTGACAGGCACTGATGTAAGCTTTGGTTGATATCACCTTAACAAGGTGCCTATGAGATTTGGGTGTTCCATGCTGAAGCTTTACATGTAGCTTCATCAAGTGGTTACTTCTTTTTCTTTTATCTTCCACTGTCTGCTGTCTGCTGCTAAGCTCAGCAAATAAGGAGAGACCTATGAATGCAAGCAGAGAAGCTAAGAAAAGTCACTACAATTGTAATAATTGCAAAAAATGGTGGTTTTTCATCGTTGTATGCACATGATTTAAAGGGAATACTATCTTTGCAAATTAAACATTATATATACCTGAATGACATAAATTGCACATCTTCTATCTTTATAGTAACTCAACAGAGTTAAAGCACTCCACAACTTCACCAACCCACTAAAAAGACAGAGGTAAGATTAGCAAGTTATATCTTCTCAGAAGCAAATAATACTATATTTCTGTGCTCTTTAACTAATTTTGCTTCAGACAACGTGAAGAGAATGGCTTCAAACATAAACCTATGCAACCAATTGCAAGATCTGATGCTCACAAGCCTGTGTGATCAATAAAATCCAAATGCCAACCAATCTCAAGAGTGTGGAAAAAGACAATATACTTAAATCACAATTGCAGAACTGAGCTAAAATAAGTACTTGTTCATATAAAAACAGAAATCTGGGAGATAGTGTTTAATTTTCACCTTTCTTTTACTCTAAGTATGGCTTCCATTGAACTAGCTTCAAACTTGATGATGTCAACACCAATAGCAGAGCCTACCTATTTGATGATGAAAAAAGGTTCATTAAAAAAAATTGGGAAACATCTGCCTCTTGACTGCATGCCAATGACCAAAAAAATTAAATACCTGGTAATAAGTAACAGGTTCCAATCCAAAGTTAATTCCCAGTTGGTTTTGTTATAGTTACTGTTGCTACATGACAGGTTTTTGCCTTGTTTTTACAAACTTGAGATAATTGAGGTCCAAATAGCCTTTAATTTTCCTCATAACTTAACTTATTGGCAACTTTGGAAGAGGAAGCAAATGGCACTTTGAAAGATCTTGGGTCTTGCGGACTTTCATCTGATCACAAAATTTTACAGTCTTTGCAGTAAGTCTCAAAATATCATTTGAAATGCACTAATTTTGCTACTGAAAACTCAAAATTTTTCCTCATGTTCTTTAAGTCTCTTGCTTATTGTTGTAGCTGACAGTCTTGGCTAAAAGGTAGCTGTGAAGTATTGTAGATGGATCATTGTAAGTGTTGTGTGTATGGGGCCCTTACATAAATAGGGTACATGCATATTTTTGCTGACAAAAACCATGCACATCACACAAAAAGTAAGCATATATTGATTTTGCAGTTGACACAAGATTTCAACAAAAGAAAACAAAAATATATCTGATTCATAATAATCATCATAGGAAGGAGGCAAGAATTTCAGCTACCTTTCCATGTAAAGAATCAAGAGCTTGTATAAGAATACTCTTAAATGTCACTATATCAATCTCAACTGGTCTTTCATCAACTTCTTTGGAAATGTCTCTAGAAGGAATTAACATAAAATGACTGTCTTGTTTAACACCCAAAATATTACATGTTGTATAATAATGGTAACAGTGATTGATCAAAATATCAGTACACTAGCTGGCGAAAAATCTGGCAAAAAGATGATTAGCTGGATTGTGTTATACATCCTTCCGACTGTAAAGCAGGTTAAAGAGTGGCAGCTTATGTGAATCTGGTGTACCATCCTAAATAGTTTCAAATTATACCAAGATAAAAACTAATACACAAACAAATAAATAAATAATATATAAAGGATAATGTTTACAAATGTAATATGAATATTCCATATACATTAGAGAAATGTAGCGCTATAGTTTAAAAGTAAATAAAATTGCCGGAGTTCTTTTGTGTTACTCTGGAGCTGCATGTTAGCTTAATGGCATGTTGGCCAACTCTCCACTCAACAATTTCCCAATAATACAGCAGTTGGAATTATAGCTTTAACACTGAAAGACACTTACATTTTTAATTTTAGGTAGAAGAACTGTGCTTTTTGCGGCAAAGTTAATCTCTCCATGAAACTACAAGCAGGAGTGCATGCCACTGGGAGTGTCATATATCTCACAGTGGAGTGTAACGTGAGCCCGCGTTTCCAACTTTGTGTTGTTATAGTGACTTAATAACATGGCTGACAGCGAAAAGGCAAGCAGGGTTGATGATCCTTTTAAGGTACTCTTTGTCAGTGTTATCGTCTGATATTTGGATTTATTTTCGATAGGAAACTGAGGAACAACTGAAGAGACGTGGTATAGCAAAAGATAAAGATGTTTCAGAGATTTACTTGGGGAACAGGTAGATTATAAATGTTTGTCACTGACACGGGAAGATATAAATATATGTTTTGGACCGTTCCATGCTAACTTTCATATAAGTAATCAGTTTATATAACAGTTAACTGAAGCCCTTCGGATTACTTAATAACAGTGTGGATGTTTTAATTCAAGGGATTATTTGATGTTTAGCTTTTAAACATCAATCGAAATGCGTCAAGTTTATGGTTCACATTTATGCAGAGTTTGTAATTGATTGAGCTTATTTCGTGGAGCCTTGAGTACCACCTATGCCCCAGAGCGAATAAGCTGAATTTTACACTTATTGGAGGACAGACGCATACATGACGTCACCCTTCTTTTTCTTACCGCATTTTGTTGACATCTGTGATCTATTACTGAACAGATGCATGGCAACACCACATTTATTTCTTAAATAAAACAAATCACAGAGATACAAACCACTGGAGTCTGAAATCTGGGAATGTTTGAGTTTGGATGATGTCTCTACCCCTCCCTCCAACACTCCACCTCCCAAAGTGTTGACAGTTGACAGTCAACAGCCACATACTCAACTTGACTTCCTCCCCATTTTGATCTCACTTTCAAGGTCAAAGCCCTACTAGTATTGAATCTCAGGATGTTCTGGTCAAAAACAAGTAAAACAATAATAGAAATGCAGTCAATTTTTGTTTATTGTTGTGCTTTTTATACCCACAGAGCACTTGAGGAAGTGGCTGACTTTGGGAAATATAGAAACTTACAAATTGTTTGGTTGAATGGAAATAAGGTGGAATTTTATTATTACCATACATTTTACTTTATGTGTGTTATCTTATGGTTTTATCACAGGAATAAGGAATCTAAAATAAAATGATGTAATTGTTGTTATCACTGGGTAATGGGTGGCAAACTTGCCATTGGGTGTAGGCTTAAGCTTTGGAAAATTAATGAGGCTGTGATTTCTGGCTAAAACCCTTACAGTGCCTCTTGTCCCCCCCTCCCCCTCACCCAGGGGATATAAATAAGTCTTAACTTGAGCTAAGTAGTCCACCTAGCCAGAGCCTATCCCAGTTTCCTCAGGAATAACACAAGGAGTACCGCTACTCTCTGGAGATAGGATGTCAGTCCATTGCAAGGTCCCTCCACCCCAACATTTTATCAGGCTTCCCTGACAATTCAAAGACATCCATTTATAAAATCTAAGATGGTGAGAGGCAGTGTGAGAGTGTAATGTTTTGCTGAAGAATAACTGACCATTGACCCGGCCAGAGCTTATTGACCAGGGGACCAGCGCATTGACATTACACCACTGCACCTCTGACACACAGGAGTATAAATGGGTACTAACAGGAAAGCATATTAAAATTTAGAGATGTAACTTGGATGGATTAGCTTTCTGGAGAGGTGTGTTGTACACCTCTATAGCTTGGCCCAAGTTCAGACCTATCATTCTATGGAAGATGATTTCAACTTATTTAAACTCAGCTCACCATAAAAATTTTTTTCCTCCTTTCTTAACATGTTGTTTGGGTTGAAAAGGCAATAAACCCTTTCATTCCCAACTGATCCCAATAGTAATTATCCTTACTGACTGCTATACATTTCTTTTAATGGTAGCTCAGAGAATTTGGTATTGGATCAACTAATAATCCCCTAATCAATATTTTTCTGTATTCTCATCACTTGTTTGCTTGATATTGTATTGATATTGTGAGGAGATATCTCTCTTGGTCTCTCATGAGAGTTTAAGGGTTCAACCAATCAGATGTGTGGTAATTTTGTTTTTGGGCATAATTATGGGCTTTAGAATGAAGTTTTTCAGGTTTTCATAGCTTACCTGTATCATTGCTGACACCATGTTTAGTACTGTTCTCTTCTTCATTCTGCAGCTGAGGAAGTTGAACTGTTTTAGCTCAAACTATCAACTGAGAGAGTTGTACCTTCAAGACAATATGTTAGTGGAACTGAATGGCTCTTTACACCACTTGACATGCCTTCAAGTATTATTGCTGAATGGAAATCAGCTGGTAAAACTCACTGACATTGTTCATGAGTTAAAAGCCATGCAGTGCCTAAAGACACTTAGTAAGTTGTCAGACAATTTAACCCTATTCACTCCAAGATCAAAATGCATCTTCCTCAGACTTATCTCTATATATTTCCTGTGGCACTATCAGGGAGAATTGGTTTAACAATTAAGGGGTTCTTAGGTTAGTAATCATTTCCTCTGTTCTTGTAACCACAGTGTTTTATGTAGGGTTGATGCTGTAAGGAGAAAATAGATGCTGGTCACTCTTAGGGGTCAGAGAGTTAATTTAAACCTTGTTTATTGGGGTGACATATTACATATTCATAGGGGAGAGTGGTATTTTTTTTCTGCTCATTTAAAGCTATAAGATTTTCTTAAGTGGAGAAGTTATCATCATATGGGGAAAGGGTACTTCATTATATGGGATGTATAGGTGTTTTTGTGTCAAACAATATAGGTTAACATAAAATTGAATGTGTGCTGGGAAAAAGTGAGTATTTATTGACTGCTAGTTTGTACTTTAAAATTGTCTCATATTTCCTTGTAAAACTCTGGGTGAAGTTGATGTTGAATTGAAAGATTTTATTCCAACTGCCCCTTAAATTTGTGTCTGGATTGTGGACACCAATAAGTTCTTGCATACTGTACACTCTGAAGCTGGAAATTAAGTCTGGCAAAATAATTTTTTTCTTCAATAGAGTAGGTAAAATCACTAAGCAAAACAATTTTCGTATGAACCTTATACAAGAAGTGATGTTGTAATTTATAGTTACTCATATAACATTGTATTTCAGACCTCTTTGCTAATCCACTGGCTCAGGATTATGACTACAGAAGCTATGTTATACATCATCTACCCTCCATTGAACTGCTTGATAGGAAAGGTAAACAACATGTCATGACATTTGGTGGAAAAATAATAAGTGTTCAACCTTTCACTCAACATCAAGTATCAATTAGCTGCAATGTCTTCCACACATTTTCTTACAATTTAAACTCTGGGAATTATTTGGGTGTTAAATCAGACAATATACACTTGTTGATGCTCTTCTTCTCATTATCTCTCTGTTTGAACATTTATTGATATTTCAAGGAGAAATTATATTTTGGTCACTATAGATCAGGGTTACAGAGGTAAGGTTTAAAATTGGTAATGAGCGTATTCTCTATGCAGCAAAGGCAACTGAGGTCCATTTCAAATGATGTACTTTTGCTGTTCAGCCAGATTAGACTATGACATAGGGAACATACAGTAGCTATTCAAATTCTGTAATTCAGTGTTTAAAAAAACCCTGACTTGCATGTAGTAACATTCAGTAAGAACCTAAATGAGATAATGAATTGTAGACCCACTGGCAGAAGATCGGTTGAAACAAAGGGTGTACAGATGTTTGCTTTGTAACTACATAGTGAGACATATCACACTATTCTGAGGCATTCCTAACTACTGTTCTTGTTTCAAAAATGCCAGTAAGAACAATTGTCTCCACTTTTTCAACCTAAAAACATTCTAAACATAGCATATCAGGGAAAATGCCACCATCAAATTTCTAACCTTACATCACAATTTAATTTTGTACCAGACCTCTACCTTCTAATATCCAATTCTTTAGAAAAGGATTCTGATACCTTGTAGAGTTCTGACAAATTTTACTTTGACAGTTTGATAAGGTTCCCCAAGGTTGTGGGGACAAAATATTAAAGAAATCAATTCAATTTCTAGAAATCACCAAAGCGGAAAGGGACAAAGCCAGGAAAAAATACGATTCACATCGAGAGATGGTGAAACAAACCGTAGCTTTTGGTCGCCGAGCGGACGGTCCACCGAAACAAGTCTATCACCCCCCACCTTCAGGGATGCTAGAAAGCTTTGGTTTTGACGAAGGTAACTTTACTTTACAGACCAGAGGTTTTTGCCCCGTATAAGATCACCTCTGTCCCTTCCTCAGTCCAAGTTTTCGTCCAAAAGGATGTTTTGCTGTAAGGATAGCTGTAGAGTGGTAAACAATACGTCTGTGTCGAGAACGCTCGGCAGTTGTATCTGTAAGTTTTCTAAAAGCTGGTGAGCGATGACCCACTAACCTCGTCAGACAAACACTTGAGAGCTACTCCAAGGCAGTTTGAGTATCAGAACATATTAGCTGGAATTGCGAATGAAGTGACATGTTCTTTAGGTTTGCAAGAAGAGTAAATGGTGTTTAATAAAACCTGAAAGTCGCTATTATTTCTGATTCTTTACTTTCTTTCCAGATCATTTGACAAACCTCCCCACGAACAAAAAATGACCGTATTTATGAAATGTTCGCACTTACGATTACACAATTAACCGTTAGCCGTAAAATGGCCACAATTTTTAACCGATAACCGTAAAAGCCATAACCCCATCGAAACCCTCAGTCTTCCACGAAGTTCCCAGTCGTGCATTTTGACTAAGAGATTGTTTGCTTCTTGGTACAGATGACTGTGAAGAGCAGAATGGTGACAAATCTGATAGTGTCTCAAGGTTGGTGCTAATTACATAATGATCCTTTAAGTGACATGCTTGTTGTGATGTTTGTGTAATTGAATCTTTCAGTGACCACCAGGCCATTCTTGCGGAATCGATAAAAAGGCGAGGTCTTCAGCGGTCCGTTATGCAGTACTCCACATTTGATTGGTCTTCCATTCCTTTGTCACAAGAAAGGAGACTTGTTCCAGAGAGTGTACCTGATCAGCCTCGAATTTTAACTGTGCGATTTCGATAACCTCGGCCAACTAGCACCCTTTCCCCCCGACAAGTACATTACCATTCATTGTTTTACAGTGTACCGGTGAAGAAGTTCGAACCCCTATGGAGGGGTCTGTAGCTTTCCCAAACCCACCCCTGCAATATAATACAAGATTCGAATTTTTTTTTTTACCTGAAAAATTCTCCCAGACTCCCATAGATACATTCACCATCAGCGCCTACTTTTCATGCCCGACGACGGAATTTTTGTTTCACCGTCCCTATTTCTCTTGTAAATATAAAATTTGTTAATAAAATTTATAGAGAAAAATGCTTCGGTTGATATTTATTCATAATTATCAAGCCAAACATAGCGTCGCTCTAACGAGTGGTTAACACTGGAAAAAATTGTCAAAGAAATCTCACGCTAAGCTTGGGTGTGTTCCTGTGGTCGGTCAATTCCACACCAAGCTTCTTTTTCCAGGCGCAGACTGGTGAATTTTGATGATTCATTTTGACGACTGATATGATACAGTAACGGAAACCAACTAGAGGAAGGCTAATAATCGAGAGAAGTGTGGTGTAAATGAGACTAGAGGGAATGAATTGTTAGCTAGTGATAGGATTGTGTAAGAGATTTTCAATAAGCGACGGGCTTTCATTTTGGTGATCTCGAGAAACGGTAGTTTTATCAAAAAAAAGTTCTTGGAAGCTTTCTTAGCTTTTTTTCTTTAATCGCCCAAAAGAAATATAGTTTTGCAGGTTCCTGCAAGACCTAAATGCCAATGTTGAGTATTAAAACAAATAAATGTATAAACTTTGTTTTGACAAATTCAGGTTTAGTGAATTTTTCCAAATTATACAACCACTAACAATCGAAGACGTTTGTTCATTTGGATATTAACCCTTTAAGGGAGATAGAGGCCTGAAATCGAACAACGAATTTGCCTCAACAAACTGTTTTTATACTGCATATTCGTGCGAGTGCATTTGTTTAACTATCTGGTAAACTGCCCGGTACCTGCTGAGACATGTCAATACACGGGTTTTCGAACCACACCTTTGATAGCCATCACTGTTATCCAAAATTTTACTCTTCAGCGAAAAATGTTGCAGTTTCTTGCAGCCCTGAATTAAAAAAGATTCTAAGGTATGGGAATACATTTTGTCAGCAAAATCGCAACTTTTAACGAAAGGTATTAATTATGTATTTGATGGTAAGTAGATCGATGTCATGTGCTGATGACGTTAACATAATTTATTCAAACTTCCGAGTAAAATATCCCCAATTTTGTTCCTAACGGAACACAACGTGGATTAGATCTGGGAAAAGTAAACAGCGACGAGCGAACACGAGCCTTTTGCATAACAGTCGAAAGTATTTCATCATACTGCTGCATAGAAACAATTTGCTACAAGGAATTGAATAATACGCATCGTTTGGTTGGATCAAACCTTGAAGGGGAATTCGATTTGGAAAGAGTTATTTCGATAATGGATAAGCCCCTCTCTCAAATATACACCGACTTTACTTTTCAAGACGAAATGCGTACGATACATGATTACGGGTACCGTGTGTTGTGCACCATTCTGGTGGGATCTGGCGCGATTTTCGTGGATATCATTGTTTATTTTGCCTTAGTATTGGTGAAGAAAGTGATCCAGAAGCATTTAATCACTGAAGATATGCACTTCGTTGTTGACTTGCTGTTTGGTTTGTTGAATTTAAGTATCACGGCATGGTTGGCGTACTTTGTGGACGGAAGACTGCGAATTTACTGGGCGAAAAAGAAATATGGCTTCAATAATTCATTCAGTTTAATAGATTGACATTAAAATGATTTTTATTCAGCTGAGGTCGAATCCTTCTTGTAATCAAGCCGTCAAATGGTTATCGACCTTTAATAAATTCATCTTATAGCACGCTTATTCATTTACAAAATTGCGAATCTTTCTAGGTGGTCAGTAAAGGCATTTATAATAAAATTAAATAACTGCCCTTATACTCTCAAGTGATGATTCCTTTGTCTCGTAAACACCGGTGTCCCAGCGGATTTGGACCCCCCTAGAATTGGACCCCCGGGGTCCATATCCGCTAGCGGATTTGGACTCCCCTCCGCGGATTTGGACCCCTTTAACAAAACTGAGTAAAAACATTACCATACATAACTTCCTAATAGAAATAATAAAAATTTAGAAAGTAGGCTTTCAAAGAAAGTTTTTTTTTCAGAAAGTAGGTTTTTATTTTAAAACATTCTCGTAGACGTGATCTTTTTCTCAGCATTGCGTCTCAATTTAAGGTTTTCGTTTAATTAACCTGCAGCTGTAAGTCTGTTGTTTACCTCTGGAATGAAAATGAAACGTAAATTTTGAAATCATTTGTTTGCTTTGCCAGTTCTCTTGAAAAAGTGTGAAATATAAAATAATAACAACCGTTGAATGCGTGAAAGCTTCAATTATGATTGTTTTTTTTTTTTTTTTTGGTTTTGTGAAATACCGATTGCTCAAATCTCGACTTCTAAACTTCCGACAACTTCAACAAAAAGCCTTTAGTCAACGCAATTTCTCGAATTAAGCTTTATTTTCACGAAGGTTCGAAAGAATCGGGAATTCGCTGTTCGTTTTCCTCAACTGATATGCGTTGCTCCGCCTACTTTAATTTTATACGGTTGAACAATTTACTTCTTTATTAAGTTATTCTGTTATGATGTTATTTTAGGCGCACCGTTAAATAAACATCGCGTTGCGTTTGTGCTACTTGCTACTTACCTCTTGAATGAAAGTAATTAAGTTAAACTTCAAGTCTTTTTAGCGCTCTTGTCAAGTTAAAAACAGAGTGTTTGGTAGGGTGAATTAACAAAAAGTAGATGATAGACAATAAGACACCGCTATATTCTAATTACATTGTTTTCTTTCCTTTTCTTTTTAATCTTTTTCTCGTCTAGATTCTTTTCTTTTTGAAATCTAGCGCTTTTCACCAGAAGCCTTGAAAAGCGTGTCTTTATGTACCGCAAGTGTGTAACTTTGAATCAAACGTTCTCATAATACTCTTTAACGCGTAAAAGTTATAGTTAGTGTTGCGCTTGGTCTGTTAAGCACCGACCATAAAAAAGTTATTTTCAGTGCGGTTATAAAATGTTTCACAACTTACTAACTGATAGAGCAAATATAAAAACGGTTTAACTCATTTAGTTAAACTTATTTATTGATATTGTTTTTTGTCTAGTCGAATGTTAACAAATTATCGGTATGAAGTGATAAACATGTACTAGACAATAGGTCGCTTTTAGACGATAATTACATTGTCTTGATATATAGAAATGTTAATAAGCGTGGAACGTGTTACAGCAATTATTCATTTATGTTATTGTTACTGTGTGCAGCACAATAAAGTTTAGTTTCTCCGCCTACTGCAAAGGTTTTATTTTACTTTTATTGTCTTCGCTATGTATAAAAGGGCACTCAATTCCACAAGTGTTATCATTACTTTTATGATTCATTCCATGAACGATGGCCGAAACGAAAACGTACAACGAAGTCTTTAACTATCTCCGCGATAACGAATATCCGATCGATTTTTCGAAAGACCAAAAGAGAAACTTGCGCAAGAAAGCGCTAAAATATGTTCTTGAAGATGGTGCGCTTTATTTCATTGGCCAGAAAAAAGGTGAGCCTAAAAGATGGGTTCATTGCCAAGACGAGCAGCAGAAGATACTGAGAGCTTGTCACTCTGACAAACTTGCTGGGCACTTCGGCCGTGACAAGACGAGAGAAAAGGTTTGTACAAAATTCAATGCTACTTGTCTTGAACTTTTAAATTGTGGAGACGATTTACTTTGTCAGTTATTAACTGTTGTGCTCCTGTTGTTCTTCCAGGTTACATCTCGGTATTATTGGGCTAGAGTGTTAGAAGACTGCGATGAAACTGTCAAGCGTTGTGATGTTTGCCAGCGTACCTCAAAGAAATTCGAAAAACTTTCTGCCCAGCTACATCCGATTAAAGTAAAGGACACCGTGTGGCATCGGATTGGTATCGATCTGGTAGGACCTCTGCCCGAGACGTCCCGTGGCAATAAGTACTTGATCACCTGTACCTGCTATTTCAGCAAGTGGCCAGAGGCAGCTCCTCTCAAAAAAGCAAATCGGCTGAAGGTATGTGGTATCCGATATTAAAATTAGTTGTAACGAACTGAGATTTGTGAACTCGAAAAAGAAAAAGGAAAAGTACAATCTTTTGCCTAGTATCTTAACTCTGCTGTTAATAAATTGTTCAGAATTTATTTTCTAAGGAAATTATTCGCCGTCAGATTCCCATACAAACACAGTAAATTTGGGGCTGACATGTCAATCTACCCTAGAATGCAACGTGTGGCGCCATCTTTTTACGTATCGTGAAGGCTTTAAACCATAGAGTAGTCTTTTGTTTACACTTATTTCAAATTAAGACTTAACAAGAGTCATTACCTTATTACATTAACAGAGTTAGCAAACTATTTGAGTTAACACTCACGCAAACGGTAAACGTTTTTCTTTTTTTTTGTCTGCCATTAAGCGTGTGTGAGAGAAATGTAAAGGGTTCGCGTTTGTTATTAATTAATTTTTTTTCTTTTTTTTACTATTTTCTGTGAGATTTTCTTAAGAATTCGATACAAATACACAAAAAAAAATAAGCACAGCTCAAGTTTACTATGTTTATTCTTTCGGTTGTCATTACTGGTTGAAACGTCGCAATTCACAAGGGCCAAATGAAATAACAATTTGTCTAGAGTCGAGTTTAAAAAGTTCTGCATTTGACTTAGCGTGTGTTCACTAACTGAAGTTAGATTGCTTAAGGGAATTCCCTTGAAATAAAACTGCTCCTAGACTTCATTCAAACTTTACCTATTGATTGTTAATATCGAGAAATTTTACCAAGAAGGTGTTACTTTTGAAAACATAAAATAAGCTTGGGCCTCAAGAACTTAAAACACGCGACACGCAACCATTAGGGAAACGACAGTCGATATATTTACAAACGAATCCGAAGCAAGGCCTCGAGTCAAAATTCAAACTCCGTTTGAACTCGACTTGCTTTTAAGGAGGCTCGAAAGGGTTTTAGCGCGCGCGCTCGCTTTTACTGCTCGCGTCAGCTTGGAATCCAAATTGCCATAAAAATCGAAGAAACCGGAAATGAAACGTGCGAAAAACCCGAAGCAAGGCCTCGAGTCAAAATTCAAACTCCGTTTGAACTCGACTTGCTTTAAGGAGGCTCGAAAGGGTTTTTAGCGCGCGCGCTCGCTTTTACTGCTCGCGTCAGCTTGG